TAAAAAGTTCAGGATGAGGTAAACTTCAGACTGCGACTGACGCGCTGGACGTAGTCGCCGCGGTTGACGGACTACTTGAACTCAGCCCTTTACCGCCTCTGCGCTCTCTAGCGGGTCCCTCTCCTCTCCAAGGCTTAGTCCTAGGGCATTCTCTAATCGTCTGTGCTCTAGCCATCGCGGCAGGACCATTGAGGAAAAATCAAGTAGTCCGTAAACCCGCCACGCAACAACAGTCAATATCGAGCGCTATTGAAATAATCTGAGCGTAAAACAAATTTGTTCATTTAAAAGATAGACGAACAAAGTTGAGTGAACATCGTAGTTTGCAAATAAAATCCGATAGGTTTTCAGTCAACTCATAAGCGGGAATAATAGTCAGCGTTACGGCGCGATTATTACTGCGCTTGCAGCGACCGAGGTCTACCTAATAGCATTACATATAGAACGAAGAAAATTTGCCACGGTTTACCCCAACAAAATAACGATGCTATATTGAATAAGCAATTCATCAGCAAAACATTACCATTGGAAAATGAGCTTTGGGGACTTAATGATTAATGGTAAGTGGGACTGCAAGCTACTTGCTCCTTTTGCCGATCACCTCTTTTGTCGATCTCTGTGGCGACTCATTCCAGTCCCACCTCCTTTTGCTTAGCTTCCCGTTCCGAATAGTCGCGCTCTTGGATCGTGTTTGTTTTTTGAAAAGTTTTGATGATTAGCTTCAATTGGTTTTTATTTCATTCCACTCATTTCCAGTGATCTGTTCTCATCTTTCGTCTTGCTACTGTCTTATACTGTTGCAGTCATAATAAAGGTTTACTTTTTGGAAATGAATCTTAGATCTTGCTGGTGAGCCGTACAATATGACATCGTCTGGATTTGGACGTAAATTGGTAATAGCTGAAATTGGTGGCCCCGGAAATCTATTCCCAGTCATTCATAGAGAGAAAGAGTTTGATTTGAAGGTAAGTCTTGCAAGCTGTATGAAGACGCTATCAATGAGGTGCTTCAATACCAATAAGTCGGAAGATCTCATATTTGAGGAAATTTGTGAGAGCTGTGAAGCACCGTCGTCGTTTGTATTTGGTCCAGGAGCCGGACCTTGGAAAGTCGTTGGAAGGAACTGTGAGATGGTGGCTGATGCAAATTTCTCATCTTCAAAGGTAAGGATAATGATTCTTTTCATTTATTCATTTCTTCCTATTCGGGGTCAGGGCGCGTCCATAGTGAAATATTGTCGCCACGCAAATTTTCTCGGCCATATTTACCTTTAGACCAGGTCCGCTCCTCAGACAAAATCGGCCGTTTCTTATCGTAGGGTATCGGCCCATGGAAGCACGAAATACAACATCGATCGGGTAGCGCAGACTACAAATGTTGAACAATGTGTACTCATTCGTTCTGCTGTCGTAAGCTACTCTGACAGACCAAGTGTCTCAGCAATTTGACCCTATCGTTTGCGCGCTATACGCACCGGTCGTCTTTGCGCCAGAACAAACGGTTTTGGTATTCTTCTGCTTTTTTGTGTTCCTACTTAAATCGGTCGTAGGAAGCGTCATGCCATGTCAGGCATTGCGATGTTATTTGTTTTGTGCTACGCGCTTCGCTAGCGGTGTCGCGCGTCGACCTAGCCGATGCGCTCTAATCCGATGTCAGACTCTGCGATTGGAGCGATCGGTCAAGATGAGATGGAATGGGAATGCGACCATCGCGCGATTCCCATTCCATCTCATCTTGACCGATCGCTCCAATCGCAGAGTCTGACATCGGCCAATGGCTAGTACCTATAACTTCGTATAATGTAAGTTATTACGAAATCTCTCCATTCGCAAAGTCTGACATCGGCTTGAATGAAGCAATGCATGGGATAATTAAGAGTACGTAGAATGTATGTCATTCCGGATATGTTGCATTATGTATATCTTTTGGGTACTGTGTTGCGAATGATGCGCTTGATACATTTCAAGTAGATGTAAGACTTTTTGAGCACTCGTAGCGATTAGTCACGAAAGTCTGACTGCCTCAACCTTGCAACGTCTACAGCGCTTGAGCAAGCGAAATATTCTGAGCCCATCAGTGGATCTAAGCATGTCAATGAATAGATCTGTTGCATAATAATCCTTCAATAGCGCTGATTGAGCTAATTTTCTGTTTAGGTGGCAACAAAAGTCGCTTCAATCCCTCCGAACCATTTCTCCCACTAGCGTATTAAGATGGAAGTGATCGATTCACGGAAATTTAGTCTGATGGCGAATCTAGCGATATCAGCGGAACCCGGCCCTGCTGAAGTGGGTATGTTGCGAATAATATACCGTTTATTCTTCGGTTAACCATTTCATCACAGGGTAACAATGAGTATATACCGGTTGTTATGAAGATTTTCAGTAGTACTGTTATCAGTTTCATCTGGAAAAGTCTGATTTTTTATGGATCCGGTGGCTTAGATTGGATGTGGGGGCCTACACGCGGCGGCGCGGCAGTTTGCTCACCTGGGCTCTCTCGAGCGAGACAGTGTAAAGTCGAACATTCCAACTTTTCACGCATGTCAAGTGACTGCCCCCACCTCCCACCCCAATAACTGCCTACACCTCCTGGCCCACGGATTTCCGAACTGCAGCGAGCGAAGTGCCTGCATTGCCCTGCGTGTCCCCACATCCACTGAACCTGATCTTGTGTTTATGCTAGTTGTTATGACCCAGAATAGACAAAGCGTGCTCCGTATTCGCGGGGGATCATGATTTAGCCTACTTTAGAAAATCGTAGCGTAAACAACAAAATAATTCTTCACACCGCCTACATTCCACTCACCTCAACTGTTTTCAAAGATGGAGGACTAACATAACACCAACATCTTCCTCGACCTAAACTTGCTGGTAAAGCGACTCGAAGGGCACCCGAATTAGTGCTGGTTTGATACAGTCCATGAATTTGGACATTCCTTTGCCTCCGTCCAGACCACGCATTCATTCGTCATAGGTTGCGTCATTAAGTTGAAAAGCCCACCTCACCACACCGGGGCAAACGCTGAAGAAGAATAAGAAAGTTCACTTGGATGTCTGAATCTGGCTCCACAGAGTTGGCGAAACACTAGTCTCAAGTCTTGAAACGTTCTTGCATTTTGTATTCATTTTCTCATCTCAGAAACAGCTTCGAATGTAAAGCGCTGAGACTGCTAATGTAGTAGTCAGCAAGTTATCGTGGACTTCTTTTTTGATTATGATCTTGTGTGAGTGTAGGCCGGCTCACAGTGGAGAATATGATTTTACTTTCAGTTCTTTTGTGATCTCAGCTCAAGAAAGACTCCAGTATTGATCATGAAACCTTACGGCCGTGTCGGTGGACGTTTGCTTTAAGCGCATTCTGGCAGTCTGGGTTTCGAATCCAAATGCTGGTCTACGACAGTAAGTGAATTTCCGCTTTTCCGCAGCGCTAAACTCTCCGCTGCGGTAATCTGGTCCATCGCTGGTCACGTGTGTCTTTCTAATTTTCGGGTGAGCTGGGGCCTTTCCGCTGAAAAACTCAGGCGTGCGACCAAGCATGAAACTGCTCTCTGTCCTAGTGAACAGCTCACCCGTAAATCCATGGAATACTTTTTGCTGGAGTTGCTAACTTTTGTTAAATTTGTTTCTTCTCGAACGTTGTTGAGGTTACTTTGTAAACTATTGCCAATCATTTGACTTTGTCATTTACATTACTTCAGACTTATACTTTCCAGTTTATTGCAAAGCTTCTGTACGCACTGGGAAAGGACAATTTTCCAGAAGTCATTCGCAAGGACTTGCCCAGCATTATGGCGAAAAGTAAGAGTGATCGTTATGTAATATATTCAGTATTTCATCTACTTATCCCTTCTCTATCTTATCTTTATTACTTCTTCTGTTACAGGTGTGTTTCGGTGCCGGTATTTTTATGATGTTGAAAGGAGAAGCGAAACTTCACGTGATGCCCGACTTTCCCTGTTGCAACTTCAAGTCTACTGAGGAGGTTGAATTTACAGTATAACTAGCCCTCTCGACCAAGTCCTTCCACTTCTAACTTGATTCTTCTTGTGATGTATTAATTACTACTACGAAAGTTGATGTGATTCTCGTTTTAGATTGATAAGCAATGGCTGCGTTTCTTCACAATGAAAGCTCCGTTGGTATGTGCGTCGGTTTTTCATTCTTACGATCCGGGCCATAAGCTACGAATGGAGCACACACACTGTTATTCGAGCCATGGAGATGCAGGTATGTTACAGCAGTATTATTGGCAGCAGAATTTGCTCACACTCCTTATTCGTTTGCTTCATTGATTTCTCTTTCTCGATTCCGCTGTAGTTGGGCAAAATAAGGCTCCCTGTTACGCTATGTGCAAGATTCTATGAAGGATGTTAGGATTTTTCATTTCTGGAGGGTGTGGGAATGATTTTGAGAGTTTATTCAAGGATAGATGCATAGAGATGCAGATAATTTCCATTCATTGGTAACTGCAGTGGAACATCCTACTTGATCCCGAGCGCAGTTTACGGTTTTAGCTCTTTTCCTTTACTTCCCTTTGTTTTATTCGTGACTTTGCCAGAAGCAAATGAGTAAATGAACTGTTGCTAACTTAGGACACTACCATTACGACACTACTCCGGATACGGTTGTCTATGAAGGTTATTTCACAGCAGCAGAAAAGATCTTCCGGTTTGATGAGGTTTAGAAGATGACTCTGGATTCATTTTTCAATTCTTAAATTTTGTGATGACTACCTCGTTCCTGTGATTGCTGATACATTTCGTGATATATTTCATATGTGTCTATTAGATTGTTCAAATGCTTTTTGTGCTACTCTGTATAGATCTAATATCTTGCTCATTTCTTTTTATCAGTGGTGGTTTTTGTAATAATTATAAATCTTTCAGTATCACCTTCTACTTCAACTGCATCTTAGGGTTTCATCCTGATTGCAATCAGGGCAACCTATTCCACAACTGGGTCAGCTATATATGAAATTTCTGCAGCGCAAAAAAGGAGTTGCACGGTTCAGAGACTGAATGTTGTCGAATGTTGTCGAGCTTATGGTTAAAGAATGGCTGCGAATGGAGCTCGGTTTCTCTACACCTCGAGATTTTGGTAAATCACGGATCACGGTTGCAGAGATGTTCGTCAAGAAAGTCCTTCACCGTATTTGCGAAGAAAACAGCCCGCTGTGATAGTTCATTGAAACTGCGCTCGAATAGAGATATTCCCGCTAGCAAAATCTTAGCGCGAGTGGGGTTCGAACCCACGAGGACTTGCGCCCATTGGAACTTAAGTCCAACGCCTTAACCACTCGGCCATCGCGCTACATGAGAATCACTGTCTAAATGTCCCAATTTGGGAATATTACAACGTTGAATTCCATCACGGATGAATAGTGTAGTATGCTTGGAAAATTTTAGCGCGAGTGGGGTTCGAACCCACGAGGACTTGCGCCCATTGGAACTTAAGTCCAACGCCTTAACCACTCGGCCATCGCGCTACATGAGAATCACTGTCTAATGTCCCAATTTGGGAATATTACAACGTTGAATTCCATCACGGATGAATAGTGTAGTATGCTTGGAAAATTTTAGCGCGAGTGGGGTTCGAACCCACGAGGACTTGCGCCCATTGGAACTTAAGTCCAACGCCTTAACCACTCGGCCATCGCGCTACATGAGAATCACTGTCTAAATGTCCCAATTTGGGAATATTACAACGTTGAATTCCATCACGGATGAATAGTGTAGTATGCTTGGAAAATTTTAGCGCGAGTGGGGTTCGAACCCACGAGGACTTGCGCCCATTGGAACTTAAGTCCAACGCCTTAACCACTCGGCCATCGCGCTACATGAGAATCACTGTCTAAATGTCCCAATTTGGGAATATTACAACGTTGAATTCCATCACGGATGAATAGTGTAGTATGCTTGGGAAAATTTTAGCGCGAGTGGGGTTCGAACCCACGAGGACTTGCGCCCATTGGAACTTAAGTCCAACGCCTTAACCACTCGGCCATCGCGCTACATGAGAATCACTGTCTAAATATCCCAATTTGGGAATATTACAACGTTGAATTCCATCACGGATGAATAGTGTAGTATGCTTGGAAAATTTTAGCGCGAGTGGGGTTCGAACCCACGAGGACTTGCGCCCATTGGAACTTAAGTCCAACGCCTTAACCACTCGGCCATCGCGCTACATGAGAATCACTGTCTAAATATCCCAATTTGGGAATATTACAACGTTGAATTCCATCACGGATGAATAGTGTAGTATGCTTGGAAAATTTTAGCGCGAGTGGGGTTCGAACCCACGAGGACTTGCGCCCATTGGAACTTAAGTCCAACGCCTTAACCACTCGGCCATCGCGCTACATGAGAATCACTGTCTAAATATCCCAATTTGGGAATATTACAACGTTGAATTCCATCACGGATGAATAGTGTAGTATGCTTGGAAAATTTTAGCGCGAGTGGGGTTCGAACCCACGAGGACTTGCGCCCATTGGAACTTAAGTCCAACGCCTTAACCACTCGGCCATCGCGCTACATGAGAATCACTGTCTAAATGTCCCAATTTGGGAATATTACAACGTTGAATTCCATCACGGATGAATAGTGTAGTATGCTTGGAAAATTTTAGCGCGAGTGGGGTTCGAACCCACGAGGACTTGCGCCCATTGGAACTTAAGTCCAACGCCTTAACCACTCGGCCATCGCGCTACATGAGAATCACTGTCTAAATGTCCCAATTTGGGAATATTACAACGTTGAATTCCATCACGGATGAATAGTGTAGTATGCTTGGAAAATTTTAGCGCGAGTGGGGTTCGAACCCACGAGGACTTGCGCCCATTGGAACTTAAGTCCAACGCCTTAACCACTCGGCCATCGCGCTACATGAGAATCACTGTCTAAATGTCCCAATTTGGGAATATTACAACGTTGAATTCCATCACGGATGAATAGTGTAGTATGCTTGGAAAATTTTAGCGCGAGTGGGGTTCGAACCCACGAGGACTTGCGCCCATTGGAACTTAAGTCCAACGCCTTAACCACTCGGCCATCGCGCTACATGAGAATCACTGTCTAAATGTCCCAATTTGGGAATATTACAACGTTGAATTCCATCACGGATGAATAGTGTAGTATATGCTTGGAAAATTTTAGCGCGAGTGGGGTTCGAACCCACGAGGACTTGCGCCCATTGGAACTTAAGTCCAACGCCTTAACCACTCGGCCATCGCGCTACATGAGAATCACTGTCTAAATGTCCCAATTTGGGAATATTACAACGTACATGAGAATCACTGTCTAAATTTATCCAATTTGGGAATATTACAACGTTGAATTCCATCACGGATGAATAGTGTAGTATGCTTGGAAAATTTTTAGCGCGAGTGGGGTTCGAACCCACGAGGACTTGCGCCCATTGGAACTTAAGTCCAACGCCTTAACCACTCGGCCATCGCGCTACATGAGAATCACTGTCTAAATGTCCCAATTTGGGAATATTACAACGTTGAATGGCAAACAGTGTAGTATCTTGGATGTTATGAATTGTTATGTTATTCTGAATGTTCTAGCCTAGGCGTATTTTTGAAAGATGCTTTCAGTAGGAGTGATTTCATGCCTGCAAAATTTTAGCAGCGTCAGAAATCGAAATCCGACCACATTTGTGCATTGGAACACAAGTAAAGTCCCACCACTCGGCCATAGCGCCGTTCACGCGGTTTCGTTTTATTCAATTACGAGCATATTACCTCATGAAATTTACTACGCTACCGATCACTCCTATCTGCAAGCATGTAATCCAAGGTGCGTCGAACCCCTACGATTCCTGAAACTTGAGTCTAGTGTGTGATCTTAACACCCCGCCATTGCAGTGCAAAATACAGCTTCAGTGTCCACACCTGAGTCTCCAATGGAATTTCATGTAGAGAGCGTTTGCACGCTGAAAGGGAGGTTTCGCTTTTACGGAACCTCACGATCGACTTCCGCCATAGATCAATCAGACTTTTCATCCTTTTTAGCCCTACGCAACACAGCAGGGTAAAAAATAGTTGTGATGAGCGTCATGTAAATCTTCCACCAAATTCAAGATTCGCTAATTTCAACGGAAAACATCTCGCATTCGTATTTTTTCTGAACTAGCGTACCTCATTATCTTCTGTCCACCTCTTTACACCTATACAAGAAGGAGTCTAGGTCACCATGGCTACTCAAATAGAAAGACTTCTATTTTTGTAGCATCTTGGATCCAGATTTACATATCTGTTGAATCTGCTGAATTCTAAGATTATCTTTCGCTTGAAAGATTGATTTTGGTGACATTTGGTCTGCTTTCCAGCCAGGCAGCTCGGCGCTGACGTCCAATTGTGCGATGTAATGCGCTTCCACTCATTGCAAAGTAAGAGCAATAGGGAGAGAATTTCAAACGACTGAAAGTAACAAGATGAAGAAGGTGAAGGTTGTGTTCATGGCAGAACACGAATGAGAATTTCCGCCACCTAACTGAAATAAGGCCAGGAAAGTTTATGCTGATACAAACATAACTTTTTTGTGGTTTGGCGGTGTATGTTATGAGTGACTGCCTTCAGTTCAATTTGCAGAACTGTTGGCAGCGTTACGTGAAGCACATCTGAAGGTTAACCCCTTCCCAAGACCAAGATGATAGCTTGATGGATGAGTGACTGTGTAACTTTTTTAAAGTCATATCAAAATTCTAGAATTGGCTGAAAATCTGCTTTCAAGGATGATTTGGCTCTATAATCACGAATATTATACCACTTGCGCAAAAACGTTCGGCATCTGTGCTATGGGAGCTGCCAGCAACTCCCCGCAAAACCTTTGTGCAAGCATTTGTAGATTAATTGCGACAAGCCACTAAAGTCTTTTTATGGTAACAAACAAGCAAAAGAGAAAACACGAATATGAGTTTATCCCTGCATATCTCTTTTTGATGGCCATAGTTTTCTAAGTTTTATGATCCTTCCCAGCCTGCATATGCCTTCTTCATGGCAATGCTCTCTCTGCTATAATCACCACTTCGCCTCAATATAGATCTTCTCGGGTTTTTTGGTTTCCGTTTAGTCGGTGGACATTGCGAGCCAACTGCGCCGAAGGGGAGGTCATGCTAGATCGCCAGGGGCGTGTCTTTCGATGCGAACTGCGTGTTATTCAGCACCCTTAGGGGGTCCGCCTGTTTCTCCAGAAAGCAGTTACCTCTTCTTCGACCTGTTCTTATCGTTGGAATCCCTTTAACACGTTGACGACACGCCCTTGTGCGCGAACCTACCCACCTTACTTTACAAATTTGCATTAACAGTTACTACATTACCAATAATTTCATTAGTGGTAACGAGAGAACTATTTTTCGTATCCAACAGTAGGAAGGGCCAGTCTTGAAGCATGAAAATGGAGGCACAATTTAGGAAAAACAAGTCTCTTCCGTGTGGGAGTGCGGGACGTATGTGTCCCGCGCTGTCGTCAAAGTGTTAAGGATAAGGATCAAGATAAGGGAGATAATAACGCTAAGGGAGCGGCTTCGATAACATTTTGATCAAAGAAGTTTTGACAAGGAACGGCTGAGTCAGTCTAGTATTGCGCGAAGAAGCGATCCTGAGCTACAAGCCAGATGTTTTCGTCTAGGTCTTGGGGAGGGGGAGGTGGTGTGGAGAAGGCTCAGCTATGGATG